CTTTCCTCTGTTTCTTTGTACTTTCCTCTTGTCCCACTATCATGTTCTGCCTTCATTTGGGTTTTAGGCATTCCTCTCGGTTACATTGCCCTTGATCCAGTCCTGCAAGGCCTCCCGCACCCTCGTTGACATTGATTTTGGATCACTTGTTGTTCCCTTGTCCCTTCCTCCCCCCTCCCCTACCCCCATGTTCCCCTGATCTGTCATCCCATTGTTCTCTCTTCTGGCTTGTTTATTCCGCCTATCTCTTCCAGGTGGACATGCTATGTACCATCACCAGACTGAGTGCAATGAAGCAACAACAGAAAGTAAAACAATGTCTACAACAACAACTGGTCTGCAGTTTTAAACCAATAGCTGCTCCAAGGGATAGATGAGACCTCCTACTTCCTAAAAGAGTTACAGTTTTGAAAACCCACACAGACCACTCTACCCTGCCTATAACGTCGGATGAGTCAGGATCAATTCAATGGCCCTGAGTTGTTTATCCTGGCCTGTACCTGCTGGCCCCTTCCTATGTCTTCTACACAAACTTACTTTATTTCCTTTCTTTAACATGTCCAGCTTGTAAGATATAAAAAAAAATGTATAATTTATCAAGGGTTCACGAGGGTGGGAAAAAATGAGGAATTGCTACCAAGGGTTCTGGTAGAAAGAAAATGTTTTGAAAAGGATGATGGCAACACATGTACAAATGTGCTTGATGCAATGGATGTATGGATTGTTATAAGAGCTGTAAGAGCCCCAATAAAATTATTTTTTTAAATATCCAGCTCATCTTTATCTCAAAAACTGCTATTTAGTTTAGTTTTCCTGGACTGCTCCTCCATTTACATTGATATACTCTAAACCCACTGACATCAAGTCAACCCTGACTCACAGTGATCCTATATGGGGTTTCTGATACTGTACATTTTTTATGGGAGTATATAGTTTCACCTTTCTTCTGCAGAGCAGCTGGTGGATTTGAACCACAGATCTTGCAATTCAGTGCTTCACCTACATTAGGTAATGTCCAGTGCCAAACTCCCAGCACCATGGGGGCTCCTTAATGTACTTTAAAGCTAAATAATAAGCAGATAGACTTCAAGAAGATGACATGATAGGTACTTTCACAGAGATAGGATATTTAATTCTCATAAGATACTGGAGTTTTCCCACTCGATGCCTTGAAACCCCTCTATGGAGCAGTTTTATTCTGCAAGGGTGGGTTACCCCATAAATGAAAATGGCCTCGATGGCCACTAATAACAGTCTGAGCGGAGGAAGGGAAGCAAAATGTGTCAATCATTTTTAATTTTGAAGCCAAATATTGACTTTAAAAATTATCTCTAGACCATCTGTTGAGAACCAGGGAAGTACTTCTCCAGAGTCACCAAATAGCAATACTGAGATTCAAAATGAGCCATTGGAAAGTAGAGTTCATACTCTCTCCTAGTACTGAAAGCAGCTTCTTCATGGAGAAAGAGGAAGCTGTCTGCTGTCATAAAGATTGATAGCTCAGAACTCTTAGGGAAAAGTTGCTATGAATCGAGTCCACTGTGTGGCAGTGGGTTTAGTTTTTGTTGTTGTTTTGGTTTGGTTTAGGAGGCATCTAATTTCCCATCAAATTACAAGGATTCATTAACTGTCAGCTCATCTTTCTGATTCTACTTTCTATCAATTTTATATTACAAAGTGGTAAAATATAGTAATTTACTTCTGTTTAAACATTTTTCCCTTGGAGGCTTAATTACACGTATGTTCTTAAAATATTTTCGTGTTCTTTTTCCTCAAGTTTTGTTTATAGCTCTGCACGTGTGTGTGTGTGTGTGTGTGTGTGTGTGTGTGTGTGTGAAAGAGAGCGAGAGAGAAAAACTGATAGAGACAGGGAGAAAGAATGAAGACAGGAGAGTGAGTTTTTGAACATTTAATTTTTTTTCTGGGACTTGAAGGCTATTTGCTTGCATTTCATATCAAAGTGAACAGCTTTTATGTAAAATACTATTTATAAGTCAAAGAGGCAATGCTTCTTTCAAGGTAAGTGCTAACAGAGAATGGTTATTTGGGAATTTGAACAAATAAATGTTGCTATTTGCATTTATATGTAAATAAAATTATGTTTCACTCATTAGGACAAATACAGTGCAGCTGAGGAAGTATTATATTTTTATAATTTATGTGAAAAAACATATTATCTAAAATGAATGGAATGCACAAATAAATAGCTTGGTACAAATTATTTATTTATGAAACAAAACCTCTTGAAAAGAGAGGGTTGCTAACTGTAGCTTAGTATGCAACATACCACATCCTATTCTTACCCTTACATTTTCAAAGTCAGACATAGTAATTTAGTTGCACACCCATTAATATTAGTGGGAGTTTTCAAACTGAAATTCCTGAACTCAACTTTGAAAATGTATGGGCCAAAGTAAACTGTTAATGAAAAACCATTTTATTTTTTTTATTTTCAGTGAGATAGTTTGAATCTCTCATGAAAGTTGTCCTAAAAGGCACCTTCATTCTGGTCACAGAAGAACGATAGCAGAAGTATAGTATTTGAAGGTCGCCATCTTTAAGGCAACATGAATAAAGAAATCCTATGAAAAAGAAGACAGCACTTCCCACCCCTGAAGGAACACAAAAGTTCAGGAATCACCTTGTTTAATAGTAAGCAAAGGACACTGGACCCTTTCTATGGGTGAGAAGCTGGGCGCATCTGATCATTGACAGAGGCATGCTAAGGTGAATTTTAATTAGGACTAAATTGTGGTATTACTCTTTCATACCCTGAACATCTGTTCCCTTCAGAAATGATGATTTATGCAGGCTATCAGTGCAGACAGCTTGCTACAGCTTATGTCACGGTTAGTGGGAAGCTGGTGGTAGCATTTCAGAAAACCAGCATCTAAATGGAGACTGGCCAGTGTATATGATATGGATAAGAGGGAAAAGGGAAGCAGAATGTGTCCATTTTTAATTTTGAAGCCAAATATTGACTTTTAAAAAAATTGTCTTCTAGACCATCTGTTGTTAATGAAGAAAGTAACTTGGACAATGAATGGGCTGATGCTTCCTACTGATGTCAAAAGGCAGCAAACCAAGCCTGTTCTTTCTGTTAGAATGAAGAAACTTACAGAGAAGCCTTCAGTCCGAATCCTGGTTTTTAAGAATGGCATGGGACAGGATGGGCATGAGATTTCAGTGGGAAAGGAAACAATGAAAAAGGTAATTCTGTGTTCATATTTAAGGAATTCATTTTAAAACTTTTCATGACTTTAAAAAATCCAGTGGATTTAGACATGTGGGTTTTCCATGTCAATGAATATGTGGTAAAATGTTATGAAGGTATTATACTGGACTCAAGATCCAGCTGGCCAGAGTGTGCTTAGTTCGCTAGGAACGTAAATGACCACAGCACCGCTGGGATGTGTCTAGAAATAGTTTGGCTAACATAGCCAGCAATTTACCTGATGAAAAGTTATGTCTACATGGAGCTGAACCTTCTAATTGGTTATAGTATTTTATTACAATATTTAGACTTAAGCTAACCACCAAAACAGACAAACGAAAAATAAACAAATAAACCAAACTCACTGCCTTGGAGTGGAATCTGCCTGCTTCCATTTAAAACAGTATAAAGACCCCAAAACATTCCTGCTCCCTGTAAGAATAAGCAAAGTTGACGGCCTTTAAAATTATCCATATACATTTTTAAAATGTGCAATAATTTAGGAAAAGTCATGTAATTTTCAAGCAACCTTTAGGAAAGAAATTTTAAAGTATTTCTTGTCATATATGTATGGTCTCCTCCCCTGCCAAAGGTGAATAGTGAACAAATGAATAGGAGACTAGATGCTTAAAATCTTTGTTGTAAAAGCAATCTATTTATTTATCTATCTATTTTTATGATGGTTTTGTAACCACAAATGAATAAGAACATTTCCTGAGACTCTAGGAAAGCCAGGCTTTATTTTCTTCTTATCTACCAATTTGGATGATGAGTAAAACAAGGGATATTACACACCAGAACAAATTGCTAAGTCAACTTGTAACATCTTCCCTGGAGATTCTGCGAAATAGAGACGATGGACACATCTCTTGGATTGTTAAAATGCAGTCCTTCTTGGAGATAGAAGCTAGATTAGACCACCTCTTGAGTTCACTTCAGTTCAATCTCTGTCATTCTATGCCTTGGTGGTAGAATTGAGGTAATAGTCACTCTTAGAGATTACATGTTCTAAGATGAAAGGTTGAGTATGAATAAAAATGTCACTGCTATTTTGCTTTTTGTCTCTAGAAAGCAATTTATTTAAAACTGGCTGATCAAAGATCCCCCAGCTTTTATTTTCTACTTCTTTGTAACTGTTAGCAGAGTTAAAGAATCTTCACAATGTACAAAATTCATGAAAAATTTTGATAATAGATATATTTATAATATTAATCTAAGTATCACCATATTATACTTAAGGATGAGGCAAAAGAGAGGAGGCACTTAGATGCTGGTTTTTGCTTGTCAATAAGCTTGGATAAGGTTAGCTAATTATTTTAGAAACAAAGTTCAAAATTGGAAAGCTCTTTAATAACCACAAAATAAGGCTCAGTTTATAGATTAAATGCCAAATGAATGTAGAATTAGAAAGGTGACAGGCATCAAAAAAAAGCATAAATTCTTTTCTCTTTTATGATAAAATATTAAGAATGTTAGGGGATAATAGCTATTTTTAGGTTAATACTAAATAATATAAAACTGAGTAGAAGGTAAAAGATTCTGGTGTGAAGAAGGCTATCACAGTGGGATAAGGAGATAATTCTTGTGGGATTATTATTATGGAATATCACTGTGCTTTAGCTACTGGGTTAGGCCACATTGACTAGAGAAACACATCAAGAAGTAATTATATATCAAGAGATTATTCCATCCCAGTCCAACTGAAGTCCATAAGTCTGATACTAGTCCCTGAGTCTCTCTTCAGACTCACACAGCCATATGCAGTGATGCAGAATTCAAGAATATCACAGGAACTTGATGGGTACAGGGTCGTGTGGATCCCAGGTGGGTGGAAACATGGCAGGATTCCAGCAGCTCCCTCAGGGTCCCAGTCCCAGTGGGCAGGAAAGCAAAGGGAGATAGAGTAGTTCCCAGTGTCTCCTACTCTTACACCATCAAGGAGTCATCAGTATGCAAATTGACTGACATTTTTACTTCATCCCTACACTTTTATATACCTTCAGGTTGACATAAAATTATCCAGCTACCTTATGTAAACTAAACTAGCTAAAGCATGAAAGTTCTCCCTGAGCTCAGAATGGACCCAAGGGGAAAGGACTATTTTATAATCATCGGAGGGAAATCAAAAGGAATTCCTTTGTTAAATTTTAAAAGATTAAGTAATCAAGAAGTTTGAAAGGAGGACAAATTCCTTATGTGATGGATTGTTATTCTGGATTCTCAACCTGTGGCTGTAATCCCATTTTGAGGACTTTCTCTGTTACAGGTAGATTAAATGCTAACCTTAGTAAAGGTCACAGCCTTTGTTTCCTCAGGGCCATCTTTAAGACCACTTTACTAGAGGGCATGACTTAAGGCACCATGCTTCCGAGTTTTGGGGAGTGATAGTTGCCTAAAAGACAACATTCACACCTCCAGCCATGCCATTGCTCCATTTATAAGAGCCGAGAGAGATCCTAGGATCACTGGAAAAGCATGTCCAAGATCTCTGTCTCAAGTGGCAGAGGTCCTCAATATACTGGAAACTGTAGCATGAAGACTCAGAGTAGACTATGATGAGACTATGGGGCACCTTCTTCTCTGGCCAGTGACTCTGAGACTGTGAGACAGAGCAACGTGGGCCGGCTTCCTGACCCACAGAGGCAGCAGACAAGGGAGCATACCCCTGAGAGACTGAGAAGAGACTTGGTGCTGCTGAGGCTGGGTGTTACAGCAGACCAATGGCTGTATCCTTACTATTTACTGATCCGGACTTGTGGTAACTTATTAACGCCTCCCTAATAAACCCCTTACTCTTGAGTATTTTCTTTGAGTTCTGTGTGGCTGTTGCAATGAATTATCAAACCCAGGAGAGTTGTAGAGCGGCATGGGAGGAATGGTTGGTGCTAGAATTGGTAGAGAAGGATGGAGCACGGAGGCATGTCTGACCCCTGTTGTTGTTAGGTGCCATCGAGTTGGTTCTGACCCATAGTGACTCTATACTGAACAGAAGGAAATACTGACGGATCCTGAGAATTCTCACCATCATTGCTACAACGTGTTAAAACTGTGTAAGATGAAGTCTCAGCATCCTTGCCTCAACGAAGCACTCTGGCCGTATTTCTTCAGAGACAGATCAGTTTGTCCTTTTGGAAGCCAAAGTACTTTCAGTATTCATCTCCCGCACCCAAATTTAAATGGCATTAATTCTTTTTCAATCTTCCTTATTCAGTGCTCAACTTTCACATGCATATGAGGCAATTGAAAATAATATGGGCCAGGCACACTTTAGTGCTCAAAATAACATTCTTTCTTTTCAATATAAGAGGTCTTGTGCAGCAAATTTACCTAATGCAGCACATCTTTTTGATCTCTTGATTGCAACTTCCACGAGCATTGGTTGTGGATCCAACAAGAAAAAATCCTTGACAACTTCAGCCATTTCTCCATTTATCATGATGTCACCTATTGGTCCAGTTGTGAGGATTTTGGTCTTCTTTATATTGAGTTGTGATAATCCATATTAAAGGCTGTGTGGTAGTTACATAATCTGGTGTCAATTTGGGACTTGAGAGGATTAAGTGTGAAGGGGTGGAGTCTAGTCTGTTAATTGGGTCCGATCCAATGAGGCCTCTGTGTGGGCATGGCCTTCTCTTGAGAATTTTGGGAAATCCTGGTTTTCCTCCTTGGAGATGGTAGACACTTTCTCTTGGCTCACTCCATGGGAGACATTGCAGCTGACAAGACACATGGAACTAAGCTAGTGCCCTGAGCTGCAGAAGTCACATGGACCTATCCTGATGCAGCCAGACCTCTGAAGCCAGAGAAGTCATGTAGAGACTCCTGCCAGTGCTGAGATGCTTGCAACGCCACTGGATCCAAAGACTTTTTACCAATTGGCCTGTGGTCATCCTGCAATTGGTGTCACTGAATGTGTTTTGTGAGTCTGAAGAGGACTTTATAGATTGGTATCAGAAATATGGGCTAATTTTGGACTTATGGACTTGGACTAGACTGGGCTAGGATGTTTTCTCAATACTCAGTTGTTATTGTATATAAAGCTCTCTGTTATGCACATATGAGTGCCCATGAATTTGTTTCCCTAGTCTACCCAGACTGACACAGGCTGTCACCCTTGTTGTTCATCTGCAAGTACTTCAAGTACTCCTCATTTTCAGTAAGCAGTGTTGTCTTATCTGCACTTTGCAGGTTATTAATAAGCTTTCGTCCAATCCTGATACCGCATTCTTCTTCATGGAGGCCAGCTACTCTGACTATTTCCTCAGCATACAAAATGAATAAGTATGGTGAGAGGAAACATGCCTCGCTCACCAAGGATTAACATAGCTTGAAAGATATGAGAGCAGACTTTTAAAATATAGAACTTGATAATGTAACTTATCACCAAGAGGCCATGGATAGCCATCGATGTCTTTTGATTTAATGTGCACTTCAGGGGTTTTATAATGAGATAATTTTAGATTATTCTGATTATTTAGTAGTCAGATTATTTATAATTATTCAGTACCCAGTTTATTTGTTCCAAAATGAAGCCTCAACCCCCAAAAAATATGACTTTCCCCATTAAAAAAATGTGTACATAACAAATAAGACTATTCAGCTAAATATGTTTTTACTTTCTTGATGATGGTTAAGAATAGTCCCTGAATTAATTAGAGGTTGTTAAGCAATAAATAGGATGTGTGTTAACTATAAAAAAGCAAGTATTTCCTTTATAAATATTATTTTATAGTTACTATATTTACTGTTTCTATTTTAAAGCATTTACTTGCTCTGAATATATAATGATAATAAAAATAAACTTTAAAAGTATATCAGAATGATTTCTATATTCTACCATTAGTTTGCTTCAGAAGGATATTTCCTGTTTGCCCAACATTAAATTATAGAACTTCTTGGAATTATCTAGGCCAGAAACTCAGAAAACTACAACCTAGACAAATTAACTGCCATGTCCAAATGAACTCTCATACCAAGGACAAAAACACATTTTCTG